AGCTACAACTTTAAAAGAACAACTACAATGACGTGGGAAAATACCCGAACAAAGCCGAATGCCATACATGTAAGTACCCGTGAAAACTTAAGAAAACAAATATATATATATATATATACATATACATATACATATACATATACATATACATATACATACATACATACATACATACATACATACATATATATAAATAAAAATAAGATTTTCATATCATGTTGTTCTAAGCTTAGAAACATAAACAATAGTGGATTTGATTGAAGCAAATCATTTTTGTCCATTAAGTGATGATTTGACACTTCGAATTGTCAACCAAATCGATTTGCTTAATTAGTTAAATGAACATGTTCTGCAGATAGACAAATAAAATTTAGCAGAACATAATAGACTCTGTACTACAAGAAACATTTTCAAAGGAAATCAATTTCAGATTATGGGTTTTGAAATCTACTGACTACAAAAGCATATGGATATATACATACATGGCCAAAGAAGACAAAAGAGGAGACTTTGGAGGCATTTAAGATTTAATCCCATTCAGTATACCCAATTTTCAATATGAAGTTTTACTTTAATACTGTGCTGCCTCTGAGTCATAAAATTATTTATATTTTTATTTAAAAAAATTCTTTAATCTCTACATTAAAATTATTTTTTAAAATTGACAAAATCTTAAAACATGCAAATGTTATAAATATACTTACTTGCTTTTCCCTTTGTACACTGTAGCATATGAACCTTCACCCAGTTTTTCCAGTTTTTCGTAAGAATCAGCTTTTCCAAATTTGGGACTTGTTGGCTGAAAGACATAAAAAGAGAAGGAAAAGTATATCAATGTTTATGCATTCATAACTGTAACCTCAAACAAGTATCTAACCAACCATGAAGGCCAAATAGTATTACTGAATCTAATAAGATTATACCAGAGATATTTAATGCTTGATCATTCAACACGTCGGATGGTATGTTATTTGATCAGTAACCCTGTATCAGCTGAACTCTAAAAGACTTAATTCACAGAACAACAAAATCTGTTGCATATTAGCCAAAATGCTATCAAAATAAGTATCTTACAGTCAGGAAACCCAAAACATTAAAGAGTTGCTATAAGGAAAGTAATTGAATTAACTTTTTACTATACAAAATCAATTATTTTCATTTTATACTCACCATACCTATACATAAGTGTAAAATTAAGCATATTTCCTTATTTAATATGCTTGCTTATAGTTCATCAAATACACTGAAATGTAACTCAAATATTACATCCTACTATAGCTCCTCCTTAATTATCATTTATCATTAAGCATTCATTCCAAGTCAAAATATGTATGCAATGTGCAACAAAAAAGTGAAGACTTTAATACCTATGGTATGATGAATTGAACTTCTAAACATTTGTATTGTTAATCTTAAATTAAATACTGATTATTTTAAGATTGCTAAATAAGCTCTTGATTTTTTTACTAATTTCTCGTAAATGTTTAACTAAACAAGAAATGTTTACAAGGCACAGATTGAGGATTGTGTGTTTAAGTTCCACAAAACTTAATGGGCTATTTCATCATATTATAATTTGCTAATGATACAAATCATGTGCTAGATGAAAAATTCACAATTCTGTATTAATTGCAAATTTATTTCCTTCTAATTATTTTTTTCCAAGATAGTTTGGAGGAATAAAGAAATAGGTGGACTTTCTTAGATAATAGGTTATTTAACTTGCAACTGAACATTAAATATGAAATAAAATTAATTATACATACAAAATTTAATAAACTTTAACAATTTGCAAAAATTAAATATCCTTGATAATCTGTTTCTCATTATAACATGTCCCTTGTTATTAAAAATGCCTATAGATATCCTTGACTGTGGACCAAATTGCCAATTCTTCTGGGTCCAGTATCAGAACAAAGTTGTAATCCTTAACCCAAAGCAACAAGTGGGACTGTATCTCCTTGTAAAGAAATACAGATATATTATGAAAAACGTACACAGCAATTATTAAGAAAACATGAATTCAGTCCAAAAAGAAAGGAAGGGATGAGGAAGAAATTCAAGGTCTGGTTTCTTTGGTATAAGAGGGTCAGAAAAAGAAATACGGCTTTCAAGATTGTTGTCAGCTCTATGATGTAAAACAGATGAGAAAAGAGATACTACAATAAATGCTAGAACTCCACTTTATTGATATAGGATATAAAGCACTTGAAAAAAGACATTTGATATTAGAGTAAGTCTAGGCCTATAAGAATTGAACAAGTAATGACTTTCCTGTCAACTGAAGCAGAAACTGAATTTTTAAGAAGCGGGATAAAAAGATACAGGTAATCTTCAACTTACAACAATTCCTTTAGTGACTGTTCACAATTGCAACAGCAGAGGAAAAAACTGACTTATGACCATTTTTCACACATATGATCTTTGCAGCATTCCAATGGTCATATAATCAAAATCCAGTTGCTTGTTAACTGGTTTATGTTTATGACGATTGCAGTGTCCTGGGATCATGTGATTAGCTTTTGTAACCTTCTGACAAAGTTAATGGGGAAGGTTAAGGTTCACTTAACAAACCATATTACTAACTTAGCAACTGCAATTATTCACTTAACAACTGTGGCAAGAAAAGTCATAAAATGGAGCACTAAAAGTTTCACTTAGCAACATAAATTTTGTGCTCAATTGTGATCATAAGTTGAGCACTACCTATATAGAGGCTTAGGTGTTGGAAATAATTCATTAGAATATCATGGGTAACAAGAAAGAACCCCAAAGGGATTATTAATTCAATCCACTCCAGACACAAATGACCAGATTTAAATTATCATATTTGGGAAACATAATACAAATACCTATCTCCTAGACTAATGGCCCCCAACTTTTTGGGCACAAGGGAGTGATTCTGTGGAGAAAGATTTTCTGAGGTCCTGAGAAGATGTGGTTTTGTGTGCTGTCTGTATCCCGTGAATAGGGCTTCACTTGTTTCTGTAGCCTGCTTGCTAGTATGCCATAGACTGGTGCTGGTACACAGGCTAGGGGTTATGGACCCGGACCTAGACTGTTGCCTATAGTGATAGGAGATGTAGAAGCAAAGGGAAGAGGAAGATCCTGGCAACAAAGTGAATGGAATTAATTATAATAGACATGGATACACAGTTAGTAAATCTAAAGGATTGAAGTTGGAGATAAATGGACATGGAGAAAATCTATTTATGTAGTCACTAAATTGATTCTTACTTGAGAGCACATAATGATAATAGAATTTAATTCCTATTCGAATCCATTCAATTTGTTGATATCTAAGAAACCTTATGGAGTTGTTTTTTTTTTTCATTTTTCACTATGTGGACCTTTCCTATGTTCATGCTATTAACAACCTTTGCTTCAGATTATCTTTTCCTTTATTGCAATATAAACAACCAGATGTCCTAAAAGTTTTAATCTAGTAATGCCATAAACAATATATGTAACGTGAAAGACCAAAGGCTCTTCCTCAGCAACATGTTGTGTCATTCAGCCTCCTATCATAATCAATTGGTTTACCACTGTCCACTCTTATAACAGGATACCTTTCCTGTTGTTACTGAAATGATCACCCACCTCAAGCACCTTTCTATATCACTGTTGCCCAATATATGTTTCTGTTTTGCTTTAGCTAGACTGAATGGGATGATCAACATATCTTGACAACATACATGGAACTACCCAATGTCCACCTCAGAACATGATAGACACATACACAGTGGACTTCACCATATCAAGGCATACACATTCCATGTCTCCACTCTATAGGCACCACATTTCAGCAATATAAAATAAAATAATATATCCTAATAGAGACATCTCCCTAAGTTACAGCAAAAAGAAATAAATTTCTTTAATCTTCCTAACTAAAGAAAAACAAATATAAAACCAATTAATTAAACTATAGAATTAGAACCACATACATTAATTATATGGGGAAATGTTTTTCATAATATATCTTTTTAGGCAAATCTAGTAAGATTTCAAAAAATCCAAAAAAAATCATACAAAATAAGAATGTATACCATTCCTGATCGAATAACTAATGTTACAATCTTTTTTCCTTCTCAATAAAACTATATTTCTCTGTAATCCATTTAGATGGTTAAAAACCTTATTAGGGTTAATAATTAGCATCTTAAACAGTCTCTTTTGTAAATCCAATAAAAGGAAATCATTCCAATTATTCTCTGGGATTCTCATTTTTATTCTTTGATTTTTAAAATATCATTCAATGTACTAGCAACAGATTTTTATTCAAAATGTTTCTATTCTCCTTATGTAAATTTTCCTGGGTATCTTGTTCTGATATCTTCATTTGGTAACAGACTGTTCTCTAGCTGAAACAACAAATTTCCATTTCGTGAAGCAGATATCAATACAATTCTTCAAAGATGTCTTAAAACACCAACTACTTGGCTGAAAACTCAATTTTGTTTCCCACAAGTTTACCTTTATTTTATTGAAAAGTAGTTTCAAAATCTTAATAATCAAAGTCCAAAACTCAATTTTTTAACTCCTAGAATGTTTGGTAGCCAAAACCTTTTCTTACTTGTTGCTGTTTATTTTAAGTTCTTAGAAATTGTAAAAGGTCATATTCTTATACTGAAGATTAAAAACATTCACTCGGGGTTTCCAGTCTTGTCATTCTTTAACTTTCTTAAATCCATTAATATGCAATTTCCAAAAATAGTTAGTAAGAGAAATGCACAATTTACTGGCCACAAAGGACTACAATATGCAGTTAAAGCAAAATGGTGAAGTCTCCCTGGTTTCTTCCCATAGTCCAAAATTGCTGTCTTGCAATCTCTTTGTCAGGTAAAGAAAAAACTTGAACAATCTCCAGTAATTCTCTTTAATTCAGAGAAAACAGAGGCAATCTGCTTTAGCTCCCTTGTACAAGGCTGCAAATTGTCTTTAGAATTATCTTCAGTCAGCCATTTTCTCCTGGAAGCATAATTAGTATTTAGGGCTTCAGTTGATAACTCAGAGATTCGTAACTTTTTTTTAAGTTGGCAACCAAAAGATTTAGCTAATGTTTCAGAGACAAGTATAGATGAATATGCTCAGCAAAGAAGATATTCAAGAATCCTGTTCATTGGGAGAAGGGGAATCCTCAAAATATACAACAAGAAAATTCACAACATGAGAATTCTAAACAAGTTCTTTGCTTTTTTCAATTATTTAGACCACTTGTATCCCAATTTTAACATTAAATTATTCTTTTACTGACAACATTTTCAATGTTTAAAAGAGGGGGAGGAGAAACGAAAGATCAGTCCATTTTGTTTTTGTATGAGGTAATACAAGATTTATTTATTTCACCAAGAGGATACAGTGTAACAGCATCATTGAAAAAGGGCGTTGGTACTTATCTGATACACCCATTCTCTGTGAGCTTCAACGAGCATCCAGAGAGTGGGAGGTGCTCAGTCTCTGCTCGAATAGGCTGGGCTTAACTGTTAGGATGTTGTTGCTCCTCCCTGGTTCCTCCCTAGCATCCCCCAGTTTTGGCGAAGACAAGGTGATGCGATCCCCGCCCTCTTCTGTGATTTAGTCATTCATTGGTTTCTGTATTCTGTCAGATTAGTTGTTGGCCAGAACAGGATCCCACCAGATGGATTCTGGGTGGGGCTGGATGCTCGTTGCAGCTCACAGAGAACGGGCGTATCAGGTAAGTACCAACGCCCTTTCTCCATTGAGCTGCTCCAAGCATCCAGAGAGTGGGACATACCAAAGCTTGGCTTGTCCTATGGGAGGGTCTCTGTCTGGGCT